ATATCATCAACTGCTATCACTGTTGGATTTTTAATAGGTCTTCCTTTAGGCCTCTTTATTTGTGTTGATTTGTCATTTGTGCCTCCATCTTTTTTATCACAATTCATATCATCTACCGCTGCTGGATTTTTTCTAGGTCTTCCTTTAGGCCTAGTTTTTGGTGTTGACTTGTCATTGTGTTCCCTGATATTTAGAAGACACCATATTTGTATGACACCTCTACCAGTAAGTGGGGCACCCATCTTGTGATAAGAAGAACCAGGTGGATGAGCAGCAACAGCAATAAACTAAAACAAATATCACATAAAAGGTAATTTAATGTACAAGGTTTACAATAAAAAAAAAAGTACATTATTTTCTATTTCTATATCTAAAGGGCAAAGCTTAGTGCATCAGTTCATTACATACAAATACAAATGTAGACAAACAAATGACAGAGCCACAACATTATTCCAAATATGCATGTAAGGCAGGTCAGTCAAAACTACAATAGCTATGGCATCTTTATGTTGAACTGCCACATGCCACACCATTGGGTTTTTTATCATGGACACACCCTGTAACACTGTGTCATGAAGCCATAAGTGCAACTGACAACACTCTTTAAAGTTTTAAAATAAAATTAGCTATCTACTTAGGAAAAAAAACAATAAGTTGTAAAATAACATTAACTTAAAAACTCGACTTTCTTATGCATGTGATAGAAATTGCTTGAGCATCAATCATATGGAAAAATAAAATTGCATAGAATCAATAATCTTCAAACATCTTTATTCACTGCCAATAAATAGCCCTATGACTTTGCTATTTTGTCAACACACTACTTCAATTAGCCAGTCATCCTTAACATGTGAGGCATCAGAACCATCACACAAACAGAATTAACCATTTGGATTACATTCAAGCAACAAAACTTCTCATTACAGCAGCAAAACAAAAAAAAAATCTACAATAAGGCTTGATACATGTGTTAAACCCGTAAAGGAAGAGAGAAAACCAAGTACCTCACATTTAATTGAACAATCAGGCTTTTCATGTATCCGAGGACACCAATCTAGTGCCCAAACAGAGCCTCCGACATTCATCACAAAATCTCTGCTCCAACAATGCTTTAATTTATTAGCAAGTTCAAAGATAATTTTTATATGATTAATACAAACATGAACTATAACTCCATAGCAATGTCAATGAATAAAACAACACAAATAGCTATATCTTAGCCATACCTGCATTCCTGAGCCTCAGCCTCCCCAAGTTGCTCCTTTTGCATATCATGCTAAAATAAACATATACAATGAAAATGTGTAGAGGTAAATGTTTGAGCAAATTTATATTGCTAAGATTAGCCAGGAAACAAATAAAGAAGTATACAATATGGAACAACTTATACCTCAGGTATGGAGGCAGATGAAAATGGAGGCAAATTAATGGTACTGACATATTTTCCCACAGAACAATCAGGGCTCTCAAGTCCGTAAGCAAACTTGATGTTTCTTGATGGATACTTAAAATCTCTCCATTCTCTGCACATTAAAAGTAAACAAAAATAATAAATTAAGGGTTTATTTGGAAACTTCTTCTAGATATCTAAGCACATTGGACAGCTTTTAAATATAAGGCCTTTTGTAACTACTAAAGTGCAAAGGTTTTTGTTTTTACATTATATAGTCCAATCCAATCACAAACTGTCATATATGGTAACTTTATTGAGTTTGTCTTTTCAGATATAATTATCAGAAAAACCATTTTAAAGTTGGTTTTATTATGCAGAAGATAGTTGATACAAATAAATAATTTTCATTACACACATACACAAAAAATAAAATAAATAAATAAATATGCATCATTAATAATCAAAAGTCATACCTTAGACACACATTCACTATAAATCTAAGGCATAACAAGTCAATAATAAAACGGAGCAAAATTGGCACACTCACACATAAACAGGAAAATAGACATAGCTGAAAATCCATACATACACATACATTATGCCCTATGATACACACATATATACTTGGATTTGCGCACTAGTGTTTGTAGTTAATTTTGTATGATGGAACATTGAAACTTTTTATCTTAGATTTCTATCATGGTTTGCATTTAATTTTGTATGATGAGTTATGACTTATGACTATTAATAATGTTAATTTTATGACTATTATGTTAATTTATAGTTTATTTGAAATTTTGAATTTTGTTGGTATTTTTTTTTAATTTTTTGATGGGTTGGTCCGTATGACCCGCCAACCTGTGGTGAGCTGGATTGAGCCAGAAAAATTTTTAAAAAATCAAAAGTGGGCCGAGTTGGGTTGACCCATTTTTTAAGTGGGTCAAGGTGAGCCAAGTTGGCCTGTTTTGACAACTTTACCAACATTTATACTGAATGCAAGTAAAAACCCATTTACAAGGCCAAGAAAACTTGAAATCTTTAGTAGCGATTCTTGTGGCTATTTTAATTGTTACAAACGCAATTAATTTTATAATTGCCCCTTTATATTTTGTTGACCTTTATGAATTGTTAGAAAAAAAAAAAACTTTAAACAATGGTTTTAAACTTGTGATTATCTACACCTGACTAGTATCCCAAAGATAAATATATCTACAGGAAGATTAAGAGAAGATGTTACGATTAATATACTACATAAAAATGTTAGAAATAGGCAAAGTTTAATAAAACAATGTTTACAATAGAACAAAAAATAAGAACTAGTCTAAATTAGTAAGTTGATAACATAATTTCAATAAACATGTCAAAAGTAACTTTCGAAATATAATAGAATTGAGAAATAAGTGAGTTATCTTGCATAACCTTTTTAAAAGCTATCAAGTCTATATACGACAACAAATTTTATTGTAAACACTATATTACTATTCAAAGGAAGCCATTTTTGTTTCAATCATGTTAATCTTCTTATCAACCTCCATGGGAATTAAACATCATTTCAATGTTCAATAAGTCCAAGTCATCAAAAACTCAACTTTGAATCTCCATGAAACCATCTTCTTCATGATGTTCTCATTTTGGAACTACACTCATTACTATGTTTCACCTTCTCTTCAAATCTTCCTTGTGGTCTGACTAAATTTTGATTACTTCAACTTATAAGGAGAACTAAGGGAGTTGGTGTTATTTCATGATTTTGAGTTTCTTGGTTCAATGTTAAGATTGTCTTAAAAGTCATTCTAAGTCTACTTTTTTAGTTTGATAATAGTAGGGAACAATTTTGTCATAAAATATTCATCTTTGCAAAAAGAGCCTAATATATAAAGTAAGAAAAAAATGTTTATGAATTTTTGTGATAAAAAAGTGAAGCATAACCTTTAGGACAAATTTCAATCTAGTTCTTAATGGACACCAATTTTTTAATCATGAATACGATATGCTCCAAGTGATATAGAGAAAAAAAAATGCAAACAGTAAAAATAAAATAACAATAAAGACAACTAAGAAAAGAGAAACTCAAAAAGGAAAGAATATGAAATTAATTCTTTATTTTTAAACCTCTAGAAAACCAACTATATTTTCACTAAGAATGTTTCTAAAATACTAAAATATTAATATATCAAGGAGAACATATTCACGTGATACGTGTTGTATAGTAGTCAAATTCTATTAAGAAAAAATAAAGAAACATGTTATATATATATATATATATATATATATATATATAAATAAAATATAAAAACATATACTCTTAAAGTTTTTATTTTTCAAAAACTCAATATATCAATTTGAAAAACAATATTCATGTAAATTAACTAGCTAGTTGTTTGCTCTTATTCCATATTTCAAATGCAAATGGCACCTCAAATTATTTCAGTTAAAAGGAATAATATAAATATTATTACTTGACATTGAAATACAATTATGAGGTAGCCTACATAGGCCATTGATAGTAATAAATAATAATAAGTAAATAAATAGGAAAATAAAATCTCCTAATTATTATGGGCAATCAATTTTTTTCTAAACTATTATATGGAGAGTATCATGTCTTAAATTTATTGCATATTTAGGATCATTTATATCTACCTCATTGGACTTATTATAATAGTGCTTTGACTTATGCTTTGACTTTTTTGCCTAAAAAAACCAAAGTGATAACATATATAAGCCTAAAAAAATTAAATTAATATAACATTGCAAGCATAAACAAATCAAATATCTTTCATTTTGGTTTGAAGATAGACTTGTTGTAGTATTGTTGCATCTGCAAGAACTTCATCAAAAAGAATAGAAAAAGACACCAAAATGTTACAAAAATTTGAAAGTTCATGTAAGAGAGACATGTCCCTAGACACATCTAACTTTATTATTCATTGAAAGTTGGTTATAAAAACATATTAACATTCAGAATAAAAAGAAATAAGCCTTGAAGGGGAAAAATCCCATTAGAATCATTCTTCACACTTTAAATAGTGAGAAAATTTTTTTCACTTATTTGCTAGCATTTCAGCAGTCTAGTCAAAGCATCATTAAATCAATTAATAAGTCATATATGACACAATAACTTCTTTTCACTTCCTTCAAAGATTGGATATAGAGGAAAAAAATGACTTGGTTAGTGAAACGGTTATAACATTTCAATGGAAGTAAAATATATTGCAATAATTCACAAGGGAAAACAAAACAAAACAAAGCCAAATATGTAGTTCAACAATAACAAAAATGAAAATAATATAAAGTTTCTCAAGGATATTACTTCTATAACACCCCATTTAAAAAAAAAAACACTATAACTATTATTATATAATATTTTGTCAGAATTATTTTATTATTATAGGGGAATATATTGTACATTTTAAATAATTATTTTTTATGTTTTGGATAATTATTTTGTACGTATTAAATAAGTATTTTTATTAGTATTTTAAATAATTATTTATATGTTTTAAGGGATAATTTAGGAGTCGAGATGATATACAACCTCCTATATTTTTATAATTAGATTAATTATATATTTTATTATAAAATTTAAAAGGTTGATTTTATAAGATATTTTGATACCAAAATTTTATTATTATATTTTGGGTAAGAAATCTTTTTTTTTTCATTTATTATTATTAGGGAAAAAGTATTTTATATTATATAATTATTTTATTTATTTAATTATTTTGGAGAAAATAGAAGCGGGTCAGGAAGAGAAGCGGGTTGGGTTGACTCGACCTAGTGGATTATTTTAAGAAAGAGGTAAGACAGAATTAATCTTATCTATCTCATTTTGCATTCTAAAGGGTAAAAAGAGAAAGAGAAGAGAAGAGAGCTCTGAGGAGGAGTACTTAGGATCAATCCCAAATGGCATCAAAATTGTTCCTATTAATGCAATCTGGTATGGGAAAAAGGGGACTTTCATATGCGTAGGAGAAATGGGTAGAGGAAGAGATCTCTAGAATTATTAGGAATTTTACATCTATTTTTGTTTGTATGTTTGATAATTCTAATAATTTCTATGTGGATTTCTGGTTATATTTATGGTATATATTATTAAAATGGATGTCCGAATGTGAGATTGAATTATTTTAAATGTGCTTATGAGTTATGAGTGATTGAGGTTTTATCAATTGGTATGTTATTTTGTGAAATTCATAATTCAATTGGGTTTGATATTGATTTATAAATGTGGTTGTTATATTTTTTGATAAAATTTTTGGTTTAGATGATAATTAAATTTATTGGATGTGCTCTCTAAGTTAGGTTTCTTGTAGATTGACGGGCACCCTTAATTATATGAATTAATGAGTAATTGAAAGATTTTACTTATAGATGTACCTTAGTATTTTTGTAATATCTTTCTGTGTGATTAACCAAATCAATTTCCATTTGTTGAGTTAGAAAGTAGACACTTGGGGCTATAATTTAGACTCATGAATCGTGTAAAAATGTTAAGAATTGATTAAGTTATGCGAGCTATAAGTTCAATCTTCATTCTAGTGCGTGAAATATTATGTTTTGTTTTGTTAGCCATACAAGGTGACCTTAACAACATTGTTAGGCTTCGTGTTCTTCACAAAAGTTGTAGTTTTGGGTGTTAGCTTTCCAACGACTTTGTAATCACTCAAAAATGATGTGTATAACTCAAGTTATGGTCAAAATAGTGAGTAGAGGTCAAATTGTCAAGATTTATGGTGCCCAGCGCGTGTATTCTGTTTTAGTTTGCATTTTTGATGTTTTAGGACCCTTTTTTTTGGCATGTTTGTGATATTTATGATTTCTTAGTGATGTTTTATAATACTCATGATATGATTGAGTGATTTTGCTATAGGATTATGAAATATGGTATTTTATTGATGGATTTTGATGATGGTTGTGAATCGTATGATATCTTGTAATGACTATTGTATGAAGAGATATAAATGGTTTGTGTTGAATGGAATTTAATTGAATGTGAATTACATAATTAATGTGTATGAAGATATTGTGCATGATCCCTTGGTTTATATAGGAATATTGGTGTGTGTGGCATTGAGTTAAATTGAAAATGTTGTGTATGATGCCTTAGCACAGTCGTGTACGTGACACGATACTGGATGTGTGATGTGTAATAAGAGCATTAAATTCGTCATTCATAGCCAATTTCCAATTTGGGCCAAGGAAGAGGTGATTTCGTAACTATAATATTATAAGTTTGGTAAGATGTGTATTTCAGATTAGGCTTATAGATACCATGTTAGCAGCGGGTCACAGGAGATTGAAGAGAAGGAGGCTAGGATTGAATTTGTGTGGGTTATGGTATTTGTCCATTATGTGGTCTAGGCGGTGTGGGGGGATTTGGTGAAGGTTGGGTCATAGGGAGAGGCATGGGAGGAGTTGAATGGGTCGTGGGAAAAGAAGGTTGGGCCATGGGTGGTTGAGTTAATGTAAGTTAAAGATGGTGGGTCGTGTAATGAAAAAGTCCATTATCTAAAAATTTGTAAGCAATGGGTGTTGATTCATGCACCCTAGCAAAGGGGCATGTGCTCTCACCAAAATGAACATGCCGACAAGTGATAATTCTATGACTAGACAAATCAAAACACTTATAACCATGATGATTCAAAGGATACCCAAAAAACACATATGGAGTAGACCGGGCTTGGAGTTTGTTTATTGTAGTATATGGAAAAAGAGGATAACACAAACATCCAAAGACTCTAATGAGAGAATATGAGGGATCTTTTTGGTAAAGCATTTTTAGTGGGGACATGTTGGCTAATAATTTACTTAGAATGATATTATGTAGGTGTGTTGTCATTTGCAAAGCATGATGCCAAAATGAAGGTGGTATAAAAGCATGCAGAAGAAGAGTTCTCATGATATTATTAAGTGATTGAATTTTTCTTTTGATTTTCCCATTTTGTGACGAAGTATGTGGACATGAAAAATGGAAAGCAATGCCATTTGACGTACAATATTGCCAAAAACTGTTATTAACAAACTTCCTCCCATTATCACATTTTATATTTTAATGTCTCGTTCAAACTAAGTATGAATACGAGCTTTGAGAGTTGTGAAAATGAAAAAAAAACTTGGGGATTTTTTAGCAATAGGGAAAGTCCACAAATATTTAGAATAATCATAAAAAAATGATATAATTATGATGTCCTGAAGACTCAAAATGAGAGATGTCCAAATATCACTATAAATAATATCAAAGGGCATAAATGTCATAGACATGGATGCAACAAAAGGCAACTTAATATGTTTATCAAGAACACAAGATTGACAAACATTAGACCTAGAAGTACTAGTACAATCAATCATTTTATTTTGCTGAAGGGAATCTAGCACCAAAATTCTCGGGTGACCTAAATGATCATGCAAAGAGATGACACTAAATAAGCAAAATGAGGAAAACATTGTATTTGACTGGTGGAAGTGATAGGGTAAAGCTCACTCAAGTTGTCACATCTCGTTAACGGCATCCCCGTGTGCATATCATTAACAAAATATCCAAACGAATCAAAGGCCACACTTACATTATTATCAATAGTAAACTTATGTACCAACACTAGATTTTTAATGAGTTTAGATGCATGAAGGACATTTTTTAAAGATGAAGGTGGGTTCGAGAGAGGCAAGGGTGTATGACCACAATCATGAATTGGAATAGATCCACTACCAACAATAATTTCACTATTTTTGCTCAAATTAAAATAAGACGAGATTACTGTGTGGACATCATGTGAGACGTTGCCCCAATGTCCATGTACCAATTTGGATCGGGTTGAGAAAGTGACATCGTGTGCATTACTAATTCGATGTTTATTGGAGTCCACTGTGGAGTCACTACATAGGCCTGTTGTGGTCTTGGAGTCCATTATGGAGCCACTACATAGGCTTGTTGCTACTGTGGTCTTGGACCTAGTATGCCAGACCATCTAAGCCCAACTTGTTTAGGCCAAGGTTGAGTAGGGTAAGGACATGGAGGTATGGACCAAGGAACTTGCGTTGACGCCCACCAAGGGAGTTGAGACCATTGTTGTTGCACCGACTATCCACCACCATTGAGATGACCACCTCCATGATTGTTGTCGCGTCCACCACCAACATGGTCGCAACCACCAAATTATCTATCACTACCACCGATATTTTTGTTGTAGTTTTTATTATTGTTGTGGTTTCTATTTAACTTCAGACCAGCACCATGACCATGTGAATTATTGTGTGGATGAGGTATTGGGGAAGAGGAATCATCATCTTTAGAATAATTATCAGTGAGAAAGGTGGTGGAAACAAATTTTTGTTTTGCTCACTCCATGATGGTGGTCTCCTCCAAAGCAAGTTTGGATCGGGTTGTAACAAAATTAGGTAGGGTCTTCTTGTTTTGCACCAAAGTGACAAAATTAGAATATTGTTTTATCAAACCTTGAAGCATTTTCAAAACCATACCATGGTCATTGACTGAAGCCCCAACATTGGCTAGTTGATGAACAAGAGTTTTGAGACGATTACAATATGCATCTATCGTCGAAAAATCAACAAGACTTATGTTGGTGAATTCCTTATTAAAATATGTAACTCTTGAATTCTTATTGTCATAAAAGAGATCAACAACACTTTATCATGCATGTTCAATCGTGTCATCGTTAATGAGAATGGAGGTGAGGATGTCAGATGAGATAGTGACATAAATTCACTACAAGGCCACCACATGAAGTCGTTTCCATAGAGGGAGATTGTCAAGTTTGGCCTTGTTAGTCACCTCTACCTCCTTTATATCTGTAGTTGGGATGATATGTTCAAGCACGTCATGAACTCTTGCCTGAACTTTGAATAATGCCGCCCATGAATGGTATTATTCCGATTCCAAGTCCAATGTGATGGGGATAAGAGCTTTCACATTGGTGACAGACAAAACAGGATGAAATTTGGTAGTTGTAGACATGGTTGACAACAAATAAAAAAATTAAGAAGGAGAATGATGGGATAAGGACTTAGTTAAGGTTGTAGAAGCCAAAAAACTCTAATTATCATAAAAGAATATAATTTTGTATCCCATTCCCTTTCATGATAGATCAATATATACAAAATATATTGCAACTAACCAGACTATTCTAAGATACAATTTGTTAGTATCAATTTTTTATAAATAGCTAGATTATATTAGGAACCTAGTTAATAGAAAATAATACAAAATCAATAATTTACGATTATTACTATTGCTATCAGATTTATTCGAATTTCATGATACATTCAAACTAAATTGTACTTAACTTCCTTGTTTGGTTTAGACGACTTTTAAGTCAAAAATCGTATCTAATTAGACCACAAACATCTTTAATATTAGTAGTCAATGTATCACGTTAATGATCAACTAACAACTTTAAACAATTAATTAGCAGTGTGACAAAATATCCAAAACTTTAAAAGTAGATGACAAAGTATGCAATTTTAAAAGTTAAGTGATAAAATTTGCAAAATTATGAAACATGGGTGTCAAAAAGTGATATTAAGTCTTAATACTTTGAATTGTGTCTAAGGAAACATTCACAAATTTTGAATTATCATGTTAACCAACAAGATGAAATTCACAAAACATATATAAAATTTGGAGCATATCAATTTTTAATGGATGTGTACTTATTTTTCAGTCAAGAGTAATAGTGTTCAAAGACTTGAACTAAAATGAACTATTTGTAAACTAAACTAAAAATGTAATTCGTTTAAATTGAACTAGTTTAGAAAATGATTTGACTAAAGTGAACTAAACTATTTTTAGTTTAGTGAACTATAGTTTCAAAAGTTTGAATTGAATTATAATCCAAAATAAATTGGATTGTTATTATCTATAAACTTAATAAAATTACTTTCAAAAGGTATTTTAATAGTTATACAAGAAAATGTTTGTTTTTGAAAGAATAATTCCAATCTATCATTTGAATAGGATACGAAAAAAAATTAAATCAACAACAATAATAAGCAAGTTTTATCTTATGCGAGAAATTGTTAGAGATATTTATAAAGTTGAACTTTATTCAACATATCAAAGTAGGACTAAAGTACGAAGTACTTAAACTACATGATGCAAATAATCTATGGCAAATTCTTGGACACCTAGAGTTACACCAATGATCATGGGATGATTGAATGATTTAAGAGAAAGGGAAAATTCAAACTCAAAAATATTGAATTATTTAGTAAGTAGTTGACTTGATTATATAGGTCACTAAACTTTATTGCAATTATATAATATCCATTAATAACCAATATTATTGTCTTTGTAAAAGCAACCATCGCAACAAAATGAAACATGTTAATATTTCTCTCTACAATAGGTCATATACTATTATTATTATTATTATTAAACAAAAGTACCTATTCAAATCTAGTTGATAGATGGTAACAAAAGTATCTATTGTGTAAATTCTAATTTATTTTGGTACTAATAAAAAAAAATCTTATTTAAATATACTAAAAAATTAACAATACAATATAATGAAATTATATTAAATTACTATTTCTTTTCATGCACAAAAATTAATAGGATAAAAATAACAATTATTATAGAAAAATAGAAAATTAAACATTTACTTAATCAAGTATACATTCTTAATTTGGTTTAGAAGAAAATAAATAAAAAATATGTATTTTCTACTCAATAAAATATATCGTTATTTATATTTTTTTCTCCTTTTTTCCTAACACATTACATGGAGAATGATGCAAGTTAGAAAAAGTTGTTGCCATGTAAAATTTATTCTCATCGTACAATTAAAAATAAATGAGTAATTGTACACGACTTTTTATTTATTTTTATCTTATTGATTGTAACGATTCAACAAGTCACTACACTTATTACAACATAGCTACAAAGTAAAAAGAATAATAAAAATAAACATCTTGTAACATAAGATTTTCATGCTATGAGTACTTGAATATTCATGCAACAAATATAGGGGTTACAACAATCCTTGTACATACATGTAAATATTTGTACCAAAAAACATAAAATCCTAATAGCGTGTTTGGTAAAGAAGAGAAAAATAAGTGAGAAATAGGATGGAGAGATATAAAGAAGAGAAAAATAAACGAGTGAAAATAAGTAAGAAATATATTGAAATTTTAGTTATTTGATTGAAGAGAAATAGATAACAAATGATATTTGTAAAGTTATTTGGTTTGAATGGACAAGGAGAAAATAAATTATAATATAAGTAAATTTACTAAGTTACCTTTATCTTACATCTTCTTGATAATTGCATTTTTATGGATTAAAAATGAACCACCTTTTACTGAATTGTATAACAATTGACTAAATATGGTCGTTAATCAATTAAATTAAATCATATTCAATGATATTAATCAATTAAGATACAAGTTTAATCAATTACATTGCTCTAGGGATAAACAATGTTAGTTAATCAATTAGTATGAGTTTGTAATCAATTAAAAACCCTCAAAGGACATATAACTTTCCAACATAATCAATTAAAATTAGACTTTAATCGATTACATTTCTTTGTTGGCCTATGTAAATATTAGTCAATCAATTATTATGATTTCTTAATCGATTAAAAATGTTCAAGGATATATAAGTTACCAACTTAATATATTAAAAATATTATTTTAATTGATTAAACTTCTTTTGTTGGTTCCTATCACTTGTGCATAAACAATTTAATAGGGTCCAATCAATTAATTGAAAAATGCTCTAAGAGGAAATTTATAGCTAGATGGAGAAAAAAAATATTGGGTAGTCAAACTCGTTCTTCACAATCATGAGAGAGGCTTTGGCAGGGTAGAAATGTAACAAGACAAGTTTCTCGTTTATTTCCATTCTCGTTAGTGAAGGAATAAAAAAACTTGTCAAGCAATCATAGTTCCTTAATCAAACATAACTCTTTGTGGGTTTTCTCGCTGGACGAGACTATATCCATATAACCATTTTTTTCATTGGGCGACACTTCTATCATTGAGTGAGAATATGATGTTGTACAACTGTTCATCAGTTATGCATGCGCGTTGGGCCCGATGTTCATCTCGTTGGGCAAGAGGAAATGTTTCACCAAGGAACTTGCCTAATCTCAACATTTTGAGCCACCATTCACCATTATTTTCATATGCAACTTAGAAAAAGGTATTCTACCTTTCATGCATCACCAAAATTATCAAAAACATCACATGCAACTAGATCATGTTACAAATCCATCAATTTTTCTTTTAAACCAAAAAACACTAAAAAAAGCCTAATATCCAACTTCATTATCATCAATTCAACTCAATTTGCCACCAATCGACAAGACAACTTAGCAATCAATATCCACAACTCAAGATATATAAAAATTACAAGCTTACCTTCTCAAATGTTTCCAAAAGCAAGGAAAAAAAGGGACGAAGAACGAAGAACTACAAAACTTGTACAATAACTTCTTTCTATAATTCTTAACTTGAATCTCCACGTCTACTACTCAATCTAGCCTTCAGGGGAAAGAAAAGAAACTTTCAATGGGATTAGATTGAAGATTGAAATTCTCTGATTCTAGAGCCCATCTCTCTTAAACTTTTCTCCAATATTTAGACAAATGAGCTTATGAAGTTTAATTTTTTTGAAAATCTTATATATCTTTCTCTATTATTGGTTAACTTTGACCTAAACTCAAAACAACTAAACTCATAAGAATCACTTAATCTTTAAAACTTTAAAACAAACCATAAAACTACATAGCATCTTGAACAACAAAAAACAACATAGAACATACATAAAACACAACACAATGTTACATTATTTGTATAAGATTTATTTTTATACAGTTATAGTATTTTAGTTTGTGCAATGTACAAGCTGAATGTTTATTATATATAACAAAAAATTATAATACATAAATACTATACTTAATATATACATTATATTTAAATTTTGAATAAATAGATATTATAAAATTTATAAATTTTATAATGCATTTATGATAAATATTTTTTATTGTAGCATAAATTATTTTTATATTAATAATTTATTTTAAAATATTAAAACTTAATTCATAAATAATTATTAAATAAAATTAAATTAGATATGAATTTTAAAAATTCTTAAAAACCCTTTTATTAATTAT